GAAAGTACTGTCAACTAGAGCCCTCCAAAAGACTCCCAGAGGAGGTCAGCTAGGAACTGCCCTTGTGGCCCCTCAGAGACCTCTGGGCTGCTGAAGAATCATCACGTGGGTTGTACTTTCCACCCCCCACCCCCCGAACATTGGCCACGGGAGAATGGTCTTCAGCTGGAAGATGGAGGAGGGGGCGTGGCTGAATACCTACCTACTCTCTGCCAGGTGCTGTGCCAGCACGAGGAACACAGGAAGAGTAAGGGAGTCTGTGTCTTCAAGGAGCTGAGAATCTAAATTGGGGAAAGAACCCGTAAATGGATCTTTATAAAGCAGTGTGGGAAGGACCAACACTGGAGGTACACCCAAGCTTCACGGAGCACCACTCACACCCACAAACCTCTCTGGAGAAAGGGAAGAGGAGAGGGGGCAAAAAGGTTTCCTAAAAGGGGGGCTAATGTAAACTGGAAGCAAATGGTACCTCTTCTCCCCACACCCTTCCCAACTGAAGATCACCTTCCAACCCCCAAAATAAATAAACCACTGGCTTCTGAAACCAAGGTCACAGTGGGGTGTCAACAGCCCAGCACTCTCTCTCACCCATTCCCCAGGCAGATTGCTCAAATATGAACTGGGCTTGCAGCTGGCACTGGGGCACCTTCCTAATCCATCCCCACACAGTCCATGCCCTCTGCCATGGACATCCCCATCATGCCAGGACATCCCCCACTAAGCAGCTCCCAAACGCTCAGCCTGCGCCCTGGCTGTGCTCTCTGATTTCTAGGCCTGGAAGGAGCCTGGGGGAACAGGGAAGTTAGAGCTCAGTATCGCCTGGAATTACACGCTCTGCGGCCTTCCTCCTTCTGCCTTTGGGGAAGCCGCCGCTGCTTCCCCCTTCTTCTCCATCCGGATCCTGCTCCGACCTCCCTCTGCTGCAGCTGCTCCATCCTCCCCACCTTGGAAGAATGCACCCCTCCCTCCACAGGGCAGAATGGGAAGGAGGCAGCATATGGCCCCATTTTCTTTGGCCTGGGCAGGCTATTTTGGAAATGAGAAACCCCCTTTGCCCTTTCCTCCCCTCTGGGGAGCACCCTCCCTCCCCTCTCCACATTCCCCAGAAGTTCTCAGACTGAGATCCATCCTACGTGCAGTTATGTGGTGAAATCACCGTTTTCCTGCCCCAGGCGCCGATGCTGGGAAGGGAGCCTACGCAAACCTTTGATGTAGGCACGTTTTAAAAGGCCCACCTGTCCCTCCTCTCCCCAGCCCCCAGCGTGAACTGCTGGAGCCCCTCATCACAGCTTTCAATCCCAGGCTAGCCCCCAACACAGCCAGGATCCGGTCACACACACCCTCTCCTGCGGGGGGGTAATCAAACCCAACTGGCTCACTCGGGGACATCTGTCTCCGTGAATAAGGAGCGATCCCAAACTTGAGGGGTTCTGTGACACTTAAAAGCTTCAAGCAGGAAGATCTGCAATTTCTCTTGGAGCAAGGCCTGTGGGGAGGGTCGCTCCAAAACCCTCGTTTGATGTTGGGCTTTCATGGCTGCGGTTTGATCCAGATGTTCCCCACTTGTGGGATTTTCTCCTTGGGAGGGAGGGGCCCTTGGCTGTGAAGACATTTCCATCATGTGCACATTTGGATACAGGCCGCCTGGGCAAGGGTGCTCTTCTAGCTGATATCATACTCTGCTCTTGCCAACCCCACCTTTTCCCTCAGGATCACATCCTTTCCCTTCACATCCAAAGAAGAGAAGAGGGCAGTCCCATAAAGGGGCAGTCCTAGCTCCTGGTCGGTGTGCTGCACCACTGTGCAGAAATGGCTGTAACTCTGTTCTTCTGGCTCCATCTCTTGGAGCCAGAGTTGGTTCCCCAAGATGGTTCCCAGATCCTGGGAAGAATGGGAGAAGGAGTTCAAGAACCAGATTTCTGGCCAAGGAACAAACAGTTATCTAAGAAATTGTGAATGGGGCGGCACTGAGAGTGAATGAGTTAGGGCTCTTGAAAGAGAAAGTGGCCCTCCCTCTTTTGGGTCAGTCCTGCAAGGGCGGAAGTAAACCTTTCCAGACACATGAGCCCCTCTGCTCCCGCAGAGCTTAGAAAGGTCGTCATCCCTCCCCCACAGGCTTCACTGAAACCTGGAAATCTTTCCTTCAACCTTAAGAACCTTTAGAAGTTCTTCCTGCTGTCCAGCCTCAGTCACTGCTTGCTGTAGCAGGAGGTGGCTTCCCCAGGGGAAGTGTGTCAGTCACACTCAGTGGTCCTTTAACGCACCTTGGCGTCCTTGTAGACACTTTTGCCTCATGAGGTCACAAGAAGGGCTCTCTACTCTATTGAAAAATCAGGTTGCTCCTGGAACTGTGCTTCTGACCAGATTAACCCTTGGATCCTTGCCTGCATCGTGGAGGACACGGCCAATATGGAGACATGGATGTTGAGTGATACAGGAGGGGGAGACAAAAGAAACTCCAAACCCTGCTGGGCAAAGGCACCAGCCCACAAGTGGATCCTAAAGGACTTGTATCAGCCACAGTTTGGGTAAATAGACTTTTTTTTTTAAGGTGAGGGGTGCTGCACAGGGAGAGAAGAAGCCTGGGAGGCTTCTTGCAGGAAGGGGAGCTTCAGAGGAGACAAGAGAGGGTGGGAGCCACTGAGTGGATGAGGAGGAACCCACGCAGGAAATGGGGAGAACCAGGAGAGACAGGCCAATGGGAGAAGAGACCACGGGTTCCCACTGGACTAGAGAGGGACAAGGGATGGAGAGAGAGGAAGGAGGAAGATGGGAGAAGCTTCACCAGCTGTCCCACCTGCAGCATTTGAGTAGCCGTGCCCTGCTCTGCTTGCTCTACATAACATGGAGGAAATGCACATTTGGGAGATCAGCTTTTCCCCTGGAGGCCCTGGGGGTCAGTTCTCAGGACTCCTCTTCCCCTTGGACTTTGACCCAGTCAAGTATAGATGGGTCAGGTCACCATGGTGATGAGGGCTGGTGGCATTGGATCTCCCTGGCTTGAATTTTTTCTTATTCCCCCATGTCCTCTTTCTCTTAGGCAATAATTTCTCATTTTGCTTGGCCTTATATACCCCATATGTCTCTAGCTCAGAGAGCTAAGAAGCACTCCATCACTCTTAAGCTGGGCCTTGCCACCTGCAGGCCCCTCCCCTCCCACACATATGTTCACACAACTGGAGCAAGTGGTTCGCTTCCCCATGGCCTCCTCTGGTCCCTCTCCCTCTCACCCCACCCTTTTCATCTTTTGGACTAGAATTAGAGCCTTCACTTCTACAGGGGGATGGGAGGGGCATGGTCAGATATCCTCACAGCTGGATGGCAGCTGGAAGAGCCCCACTTGCTCTGTGCACTTACAGTGGCTCCCTGAAGAGGACCAATGGCAAGGGGGGAGGGTGCTGGGAAATCATGTGGGAGGGGGGGAGAGGGGAGGGCTGGGACTTATGGGATTTTCTACCTGGTCTGGTCTGGGCTGGGGGAGGTCAGATGCTCAACAAGGTGTCCTAGGTCTTGGGGAGGGGCTGGCAGTGGTGGGGTGCAGTCACTCAGGGCACCTGAAGACCTGTCTTTTCACCTCCCTTTCCTCTGCCTCTCCCACTCTCTATAACGGTGGAATCCAAGTGAGGACACACCTGTCACACGTACTGCCCTGTGACCCCACTTCCACCACCCTAAACCCTTTCACCCATGCCCAAATCATCCACCTGCAGGGTTGTTACTAGTGTCTGACCCAAACTCTCCACTCCAGAGGCAGACCTTTTCCCCAGCCGGTGCTGGGGATGGAGAAACTGAGATGGGACCAGAAGATCTGCTCGTCTCCTCTCCTGAGGGGCTAGCAGGCCTCCAGCTTTTCTCCAGAATCACCACTCCCAGGCTGACCTGAGGACCTGCGAGGGGAAGGGCCACCATGCATAAGCCTGGGCCTGGGGCAGCAGTGCTCACCACCCCCCACATTAGCGCATGTAAGACATAAGGGCTTCCCCCAGATGTGAGGGTTCTGCTTTGGTGCCATGGAGGGCCACACCAGCACCTGCGGCTCATCCTCTTCCTCCTCAGCCCCATTATTGCCAAGACAGAGCTGTCTGGGCAAGCGGAGCCCCCCAGGCCTCGGCTAAGAAGTTTGGGTGGGAGGCAGAAGTGAGCGATACTCCTTACTGTTTCCTGCAAACCCTGCCAGGCTAGAGGCGCCATGATCTGGGCCCTGCATCAGACCCACTGGGTCATTCATTCCACTGAAACTCTCTCTAGGATGTATGTGAGGCCACTGGACTCATTGAAGCTGATACATAAGATCATGGCTGGCAAGCTATCCCCATGGAGCACCCGCCATGTCCTGGGCTGGGCGCTGCTGGGGTAGATGGGGAGAAGAAGGGCTGTTTTCCTGATCTTGCACTCCATGTGCCACACTATCCCATAGGGGTCCGTAGTACACATGCTTAGAGAGTCTCTTGCCTGCACAGAACCCCGTAATCTTACCCTCACCCATGTCCAGACATATGATCATACGCGAATCTCAGACACACAAGCTAGACAGAAGAAAGAACTTCCCTGAGCGTGGGTTGTCAATGCTGCACAGTCAAATCACCAGGAGGCCTCTCTTCTTGGATGGCAGCGAACCGGGAGAGCCCTGTCTTGCTGCGACAGGGGCAAAGCCAGGCTCCTGTCTTGCAGGCAGAGGGGTGGCTGAGATGACCCCTCAAGATCCTACCCAGGATAAGGCAAAGCCGTGGGGGTTCTAGTAGAGGGGCGTAAGGAGGAGGGGGCACACAGAGGGACAGACCAAGGGAGGAATTAGAGGACAGGGGGTGGGGAGCAGGGGTGGAGAGATGAATGGTATCGGCTGGACTGATGGACGATGCCGGAATGGATGGATGGCAGCTGAGGTTTGTTTACTGGCAGCTCCCAGCCCGCCACCGCCGGGGGAGAGGAATGGCGGCTGGCACATCAGAGGGCTCTTAGGGAGGCTCATGGAGATGATTTAGATGGGAATGAATCAGCTCCATATGGATTAAGTGTCCCCGCAAATCCCAGGATCTTACAGATGAGGGTACAGGGCAAGGGCACTGAGGGGAGGGGGGGGGGAGGGAGCAACATCGAGCTGGTGCAGAAGACAGGCCTGCAGCTAGTCGGAGGGCATCCTCAGAGGGCATGGGTACCACCCCTCCATGGGCCTGTTCATACCACCGTCTCTCTGGCTGGGTACCAGGCTTTAAGAAAACTGTCTGATGGAGTGTCCTTTTTAGGTGGGTTTCTGCCTGTCTCCCCTTGCCTCTTTCTCTCTTTTTCTCTCTGAGTCTTCCTGTCTCTTCCATCTTCATTTTTCTGTCCCTCTCCGCCTCTCTCCACTGTTCCTGCCTCTCTCCTTCCACCCACCACCACCTCTGTCTCTCTGCTGCTGTGTCTCTTTCACTAAACTGTTAATGGCACAGAGCTGACTTGAGGTTCTCGCTCCCTCCGTCCCTTAGCACTGCCCTCCTTCTGGCTGTGTGCACGGGCCCTCAGGTTTGCAGTTGTTTGGGGAACAAGTAAGGTGGTTGAAAAAGTGGCTTTTGGGCTACAGAAAATTCTTTCTCTTCCTCTCTGCCCACCCTGCCCTCAGCCTTCCCTTCTCCCAGGGCAGGAGGGAGCTTCGATGGGGGCACCTATGCTCTGCAGAGTAGGGCAGGTTGAACAGACCATGCATTCCCAGGCTGTCTGCTGGCTGCGGGGCTATTGGAGACACCATCTCCCCACCGCCCCTCCCATGCCCCGTGTCGGGGGCCCTGGAGCTGACTGTGGTTATGAAGCCAGCTGCCATGTGGACGACCTGGATCAGAGCACGAGGTAGTCATATATGACAATTGGTTGAAATATCACAGCCGCTCTCCCCCCACCCCCACTGGTGATCTATGGGCTTCGTGCCCTGTAAAAATTATTTATCGGGGCCTCAGAGTGTCCTGATTTAGTGCCGCTGCCTCTGGGGCTGAGGGGCCTGCCTCTCTCTTGAAGCCTAAGCGTTAAACGACGCTAAAAAGTTAAACGGCCAACGTTGGGGGCTCACTCAAGGAGGCACCATAAAGCTGTCGGAGCCGCTTAAATCAGGAGCGAGGATTCCCCGGGACATCTTCTCACCATATGCTGTAAGCCAAGAAGGCACTCCTCACCTCTCTGTGCCCACCCAAACCCAACAGCCCACATGGGGCAAGGGCCAGGTGGGCCAGGGCCTGGGACAGAGTAACAGGGGAGGTCAATGACCAGGCAGAGCCCAAGAGTATAAGAGGCCATGTTGTACAGCCCTCTGCCTCTGGCCAGGGGTTTCCTCATTCAGATACAGTTTTTAAAGACTTTCGGCTAAAGGCAGTCTCCTCCAGGGGCAGTACTGTCCTGGCGTCTCACTTAATCCATGTTTCTGTGGATCGAATCCACTGGAGCTCAGTGTCTTCCTGCTTGGGTTTGGAGAGGGTGTTCCTCCTAGCCAGCCTGTGACGTTGGTCTCTTCCCCACCCACTCCCACGGCTCTCTGAAGAACAGAGCCCACCCTTGGGTCACCATCCCCCACCAGGGCACCTCTGGGTGCCAGCATGACACTCAGGGTTCACAGACAGTTTTCCTGGCTGAACTCCAGTCCATGCTGCCACCACCCGGCCACATGTAAGAGGGAGGTGGGTCTCCGCAGGCTGTCCATCACGCCTTCTTTCAGCAGCAGTAAAACTTGCCTCTTAAAACCTCCGCTTGGGTCCCTAATATTTGCCTGGCTGTATATCTCCGGTGATATATGGACAGAAATTGCTCGTAAACGGCTATAAAACCTCTTAGTTGAGCTGGGGAGGAGGCGTGTGAGGGTGGGCACAGCCCAGGCTGAAGAAGGATCGGAAGCAGAGACACTCCACTCAGCACCCCAAACTTGGCCCAGATCTCAGGGAGGAGAGGTTGGGCTTGGGGCCCTCAGGGGAAGGATGGCGGAAAGAGAGCCAGGGGAAGGTCTTCAAGCCCCCCATGCGGTATTATGAGGCTGTCTCACCTGGCTGCCCCAGTGATGTGCTGTGTGGCCTTGGGCAAGTCACTCAGGCGCTCTGTGCCATGGTTCCCATCACTAGTGAGGATAATGATGACACTCAGCCTCCCTCGTTAAGTTGTCATGAGGCTCCAGTGAAGAAAGGCATAGAGACTTAATCAGTGCTTTGTAAATGAAAGAAGTTGCATATATTTGGGCACTGCCCCCATATGGGTATAGAGCCTTTTGAAGGCTTACCACAAGCTGGATACTCTACCTAATTATCTCTAATCCTGACAACATGTAGATATTCCTGTCACCATGTTACAGATGCAAAACCTGAGGTCCACAGAGGTGCACGTGGATGTCAGCGCCAGGGACTGATTCCAGAGCTGGTGCTTTTCCACACATCGGAATGAAATCCTAGCAACAGGAGGGATAACAGGTAAGACACTCGGGGGACTTCCATCCAAGATGTGGGGGATGCAAGGACAGATGGCTTCTCGCCTGGATCCCTCCCCTCCCCCAGAGCGCAGGCCTCTCCCCCCAGACACTTCTGTTCCAGTCCTCAAAGAGCCTGAGAGTAGAGGGGTTCCCCTTAGCATATTCCCAGTTACTATATAGCCAATCACCTGGAGAAATATTGGGTCATCGGGAAAGTCAAGATGCATTTTTGCATTGAAAAACATAGAAAAATACGTCGACTTTTCCGACGACCCCATAGTTCCCAAAGTGGAAGATGAAAACCTGGGGCTTTGTGGGAGGCCAGCCCCTCCACCCAGGAAACCGGGGGACAATGGGCTTTGTGTGGGCCAGGGGAGGAGTGGCCTTCTCTGGGACAGGTCAGCAGGTACAAACCAAGACAACCGTAATAATCCTGGGGTCCCTGGCCCAACCCCCTGCAGGCCCCAGCCCCTGGCTCGCTCTCTGGTTACCGCCCTCCTCCCAGCTCCTGGCTGCCTCTCCCTCTGTGACCCCAGAGCCCCCCCCCACCCCGTGTCCCCTCTGGTTATCACACAGTCTCCCTCTCCCACAGCATCCCCTGAGAGCCCTTGTGTGACCCTGGTTATTCTACCTTCTT